AGAACAGCCAAAACAATGGGACACAAGCAGCACGTACTGAAATGACTTTTAATATCTCATGTCGCAGCAAAATTAAAAATATACAAAAAGTTTGTGGTGTACAAAAGAGTCTCAATAAAGGGGCCCCAGCTTGGAGGGCCCCTCCCCCTCCTGGGGGAAGCATGGAGGGCAAGTGGGGTCTGGGGGATGGGGGATGGCACAGATGTAGTAAATACCAGGAGGTGGGACCAGAAATAGGAAACAGAAGTGGACAGGGGTGAGGGCCCATTAGGGAGGAAGAGAGGACAGGGAGGGGAAGAATCACTCAGAATTGTGCTGACAGAGGGAGATTAGCCCCTCAGGCATGGCTAGTGATTCCTGGAGTTCCAGGGACATGGAGGGGAGGACCAGGGCTGGGGGTATTCTGGTATTCTGGTGGGACCCTCAAAGGAACTGGATTCCGGTCTCACCTTGCCACCAGCTCGCTGTGTGACCTTGGGCTGGCCACCTCCCGTCTCTGGGCCTGCCCCTTCAGTAAAATAGGATGCTGGATGTCTAAACCATTGAGTCCTAACATGGGGTGCAGACTCTGAGGGCCTGTGAAGGCAGAAATGGGTGCCCAAGAGTGCTTTTGAGAATTTTGTATTAAGCAACCCAATAGAATACAAATATTCCCCCACCTTCAAGCTCTAGAAGCTGACTTGAGGCCTTGGAGGCATTTATCTGCAATCAGAAGCTCAGCTTGAGTTAATTTAATATGGGAAAATGAATTCTTCTTCAAGAAATGAGGCTGGTTTGGGAGAAAAATCTCCCAAATTACAGGATCCTCAGGGAAGAAAATAATGAGGGAGCTCTGGGAACAGTTCAGATCCGTTCCAGCTATTTCATGACAGCTTCGGAAAGCCAGTGGGACTGGGGGCTATGTTTATATGAGGCCCCTCCAAGTTCAGTGGTTTAGCCCAATGGAGACCAGGCAGAAAAGGGTCAGATTCGGTCTGGGGGGATTTGGGTGAGACAGAGATGGAGGAACCACCTTTCCCCTCTGGCGCCTTCTGTACCCCCTCTTTGTCCCAGGGTACCCCCCATTCTGAGATTATTGCAAATGCCCCTGGGACCCCACCCCTTCGGCCTGGCCCGGGAGTGCTCTTGCCGTGGCTATGCATAGAATAAAGGCTAGGGTTGCTGAGGAGAGGGTGGCCTCCTCCTCCAGAGAAGGGAAGGGTGGCAGAAGCCAAGCACAGGGGGTAACCTCTCTGTCCCCTGGAGAGTTTTCTGTCTCCAGAAACCAGGCCAGGCCTGGACAGGGCTTTTCTTTTCTACTCCCACATCTCCCGCTGCAGAGTTCTTCCTCCCCATGCCTCTACCGGCAGCAGCCAAGGACCCAGAAATGTCCTAGCCTCTCCCCAACCAGAATGGCACATTGCAGCCCCTTTCCTCCCCAGCCCCAGGGTCTCAGAAGCCTCTGTGGTTGGGAAGGGGGACTCGAACCTCTACCCGACTACTACCCATGGCACCCACTTGGTGCCTTCTGTCCCTTGGTGCTTGGCACCCACTCTGTCCCTTCCACTGTGACATCACAAAGCACTTGAATACAGAAACTGACAGCTTCACTCACCAACCTCTACTGCAGGCCCCAACACAGCTTGAACTGGGAGGGAGGCAGGAGTCAAAGGCGGCAGGGGCCAGCACAGAATGGGGCAGTTGGGTCCTGGCTTTCAGGCCACATCCTGCGCCTGGACTCCCTTGCAGCCCAAGGTAGGTTCCTCCTAACCAGGGGCCCCCAAGCTGGAGAAGATTCCAGCAGCCCCTAACCCCCTGAGGCACTGGAGGGGCCTGTAGCCCTTATCAGATGATGATTCCCAAACCAGGGACCCTGTGGACCCCCAGACTTCCCTTTTTAGCTGAGAGGGTAGTGGGCTGAGTTCTCAGATAGCCAGGAGGTAAGGATTTAGGGGTGGAGTAGCAAAGTCTCAGAGGGAGCCACGACCTCTGTCCCTGACTTCCCCTGAGGGGTTTCCAGACTCTGCAGGATGCTCCAGAACCTTCTCAACATTTTGAACCATAAGTCTCAAACTGGTGGCACGTGGGCCAGCAATATGAGTGGGCGGCAGTTTCCCAAAAATGTAAATGTTAGTGCCTACAGGCAGGGGAGATACTTACTCTCCTGTTTGCCAGAGTCCCCACCATTCCCTATTGTTTCCATTACTCTTATTTTCATTATCTCGAGGCATTTGAGTTTGCATCCCATGTACCCCTTGTCCCAGAAAACCTTCTTCCCACTGTTTGAAGCTTCTGTGGACTCCAGGCCCAGATGAATTCCAAGGAAAGAGCCTGCAGAATTCGAGTACTTAGGAGGGTGTTGGCTGCAAGCGAGACCTTCCCTGGATCTTCCCAGACCCCTCAGCCTTTCCCAGAGACCTGGACTTTCCCCAGGCTTCGCCTTCCCTGCCCTCTGCCTTCCCCAGCTCTCATGGGTGACATGCCTCTGTGGGACACAGGTGTAGCAGGGAGCTGGCTGGGGGTAAGGCAGATTTGGGGAGACACAAGAATGGGCAAATGAAAGGAGGGTATCACGCAAGGCCCCCTTGTTAGGGAGCCCTCTGTGGGGGGGTGGGGAGGTCTGCGCTGTTCAGCTGGGGTGACAGTTACAAGGCACATGGTACATCAGTGCCAGGAGGAGCCGTGATGGGGTGTTGGGCCTGCAGAGGTTTGGGGAACACAATAGTCTGGGGGCCAGTTCTAAGAAAACAGGGAGATAGAAGTCTGCCCTGGAAATGGGGACACTGGTCTCCTGGGATTAGAGGTACTGAGGGCAGGGCCTGCCATATTTGGTACCCAGAGCATCCTGTTCTCTTCTATTCCTGGCAAAATTAAGATGCACCCAAGTATCTCTCGTCCCCCGGGAAATCCTAACTGCCACTGACATCCTGTGTGACCTTTGTTGAGTCCTTGGTCCTCTCTGGGTCTCACTTTCTCCTGTCTAACAGATGTGGAGGGCAGGTGGTTTAAGGGACCCTAAGGGACCCTCAGGGACCCTCTGGGCTGCAAGGACCCTTTAGGGATTCTGGGAAGGACTGAGCATCCAGACTGGGCTGGGGGACAGGGAACAGGAGGCAGAGGACCAGGGGGTCAGTTCTGCCAGGGGAGAGACTGGCTGAGGTAGATTGTGTCACAGAAAGAAAAACAAAACAACAGCTCTAAGGGGATGGACCCTCCCTCATCTGGCTCCTCTATCCCAGTGGACCAGGAGGCCTCAGGCCTGGTCCTGAGCTCCTGGGTGGGGACTCAGTCACTAAAGTGCTGAGACTCTTCTGAGGGTGAGAAGCAGGAGAAGGTGCCTGCTGCCCTCTCCCTGATCCCTTTGCCATTTCTGTGCCCAGATGTCCCTGCACACAGAGGCCCCGAGGGAAGAGTGTGTGGGATTGAGAAGAGGTGGGGAGTGGGGGTGGAGTGAAATCCAAAAATGTGGCTGCGGCTCCCCTGCGAGCCCCAGACCATACCAAGCCCTGCCAGCACATCCCTGCCCCTTGGGAGCCTCCTGGAGTAGTAAAGGACCCCAGCTAGGTCCTCTAGAATTTCCTCTAGAATGCAGCAGCCAGATGGGCCATTCTAGGACACTGGGGAGGAGAATAACTTGCCAAGAGTGACCCTCATGCCACCTCTCTGGGCCTCAGTTTCCTCATCTGTAAGATGGGTTGATAATACCTCTCTTGTAGGGATGTTGTAAGCAGCAGAGAGTGTAAGTGAAACCACATGGGGTAAAAATTCCCGGCACAAAGTTGGCCCTGGAGAAACAGTCTGTTTCTAAGTGTGGGTCTGCATCCTCAAAGCTCCCATCTCACAAAGGCTTTGTGTGTGAATTCAGCCTCCAAAGATGGATTTGGGCAGAGGACAAGCAGGATGGATGAATACAGGGGACCGTGCCTGGGTCAGCCTTGGGCTTCTCCCACCACCCATCACCCTTGAGGCCTGGTTCCTGAGGGCGCTTAGCAGCAGAAAGAAGGAAAAGCATTCTTGCTATGTTGGCAGGACTGATGCACACACCATCTCTGCCTGTGTGCTGGCAGGAGGGCGACTTGTATCACAGTTGCTGTGCTTGTGTATATGCGGGCAATCTGGTCCTCTCTGCCTTTGGGGTCACCCTGCATCCCCAGTAATTCATCGTTGCCCATCACCTTTGGATGGGGCAGCCCAGAGTCTGGGGCCTTGAGAGATTGGCTGACACTGTGGGCCTCAGTTTCCCATTTGTAACCCAAGAGAGGCTGAACCAGGGAGGGCTAAGCACCCCTCTAATTTGCATAGTTAGGATTCTCATGGTCCACCTCACTCCAGGATCAGGTTTGCAGCTGTCCTTAACATCCCCTGCCATCCTCTCCCACTGAATGCACCTTAGTTGCTGTGGGGAGTGTGTGTGTGTGTGTGTGTGTGTGTGTGTGAGAGATGGGGTTCCCAGCTCTGCTAGAGGCTCTGTCCCCTCACCCCATGAAACTGCCTACTTCCTCCCTCCCATACGCCCCCTCAATCCAGGACTGGCTGTCCTAGGTGGGAGGAGGGGCCCTGGGTGAGTCCCCTGGGCACCCAGGATGTTGAAGATATTCAGGCCATGGGAATAGACCACAGGTCCTGGGGAGTCAGTCATCAGATCTAAGGCAAAACAAGTCAGTTTCCCAGATGCCGCCCCAGGGAGCCCCATTTGCGGGGTGGCTGAGAGCCAGGATTCATGTCACGTCCCAGAGCTATTTTTTTCCAGCTGGGAACCAGTTGGCAGCTGAAATGTCTCAGGGGTTCTGAGGACAATTTCCTTTTAGAAAGATAGCTGTGGACCAAGGTAAAGGCGCCTAGAGCTCCCATGAGCCTCAGAAGTCCAGAATCAGAGCACCCATTCCTAGAAAATTCCATTCACACTGGGTTCTAGAACCCTTCTCCCCCACCACCATGGCAGGTGCTAGAATCCCCCACAGCAGAGCAGCAGGGCTCCAGTGTCCTCCCTCCTTACAGCAGAATACACAGATCAGAGCAGCTCCCTGGGACATTTGATTAGACTAGCACTCTAGAACTCAATCTAGAACTAAGCGTGCTTCTGGATCAGTTCCTCTGATAAATGTGCTAAAACCTCACCTGCACTTGAGCCCAGGGATCTTCCCAGGCATCTTATCTGCTGTGTTGAAGACCTGCATCTAGAAGCCATATTCCAGGTGCTCATCTAGAACAAAGAATGGCTCCTTGAAACGTTTCACCCAAGGTGTGTGGAACCTCATCCTTCACAGAGCCCACAACAAGAGACATGTCCTGAGGAGTTCATTCTTATTTGCTATGTTCTGGATTGCAGGTTCCCCTCCCCCAAGCCTTCTACCCCTCCATGCTTCTGCCAGCATAGACCCCCACAGTTCTTTCTCCTATCCATCTCTAGCACTGCCAGCCCCCCACCCCAACACCCTGCCCCACCCCAGTTCCCTCCTTCAGCTCCCTCTTGCCCTGGCTCCAGGCCTCAGACCCTCCAGGACCCATGCCATCCCTGTCCACACGATGCTCCAACCTCACCCCATCCCTTCCACGGCCTCCTCCATCCTTCTCCGAGGTGTCCTCCCACGACAGAGGCAGCCCACTCCTCACAACCCCTGAGGAGCACAGGGTCTGGGTCATGGACCCCAGACAGTGCCCTTTGTCTGGCAGGTCCAGCAGGGGTGACACATGGGCAACACCAGGCAGGGGAGAGGTGTGGAGGCCCCACAAAAGCAGGGCAGCTCGAGAAATGTAGCACCAGATGATTCCCCGGGCCCCGGGTCAGGGGAATCTAGGGAATGGGCCACAAGGCTGAAAATGGGGCCCAGGACTGGGGCCTCCGCAAGGCTGCCCCTTCCCCTGAAAGAACCCAAGAGTGGGGTCATTCTACCCTTGGACCAATCGATCCACTCCCCCTTAGCCTGGTGGCCCTGAAATTCTGGGCTCAACACTGGCTGATGTGGGATCAGCCAAGCCTGTCCCTTTTGTGCAGGGACACTGTGGCCTACACTGTGGTCTCATACTCCAGAAGCTCCTGGGAGGTCCCCACACTCCGATACTGCAACCGGGGTGTGGTAGGCGAGGAGTACTCCAGTGCCAGGATGGTCTTCCGGAGCCTGCGGTCAATAAAATGAGCATCCCACGCCGGGTACTTCTTGCGAGGCAAGTCAATCCGGATGACAGGCGTCTCTGTCCGCAAGGTGCGGGCCACTGGTGTGGGAGGCAAGCCAGGCCGAACCTGGAAGACAGGTGGTGTGGGGGTCCCCGCACGCTCCCCCCCGGAGGCCCCATCCCGCTCGGCACCTGTCGTCCTCGGCAGGGACCTGGGGGGACTCGTGATGGCGTCAGCAGGTGGGCCACAGGGCTCGGAGGCCTCACGGAAGATGCAGCCAGGCGTCTGGGGACCCAGCATGGGCCCGTTGGGGTGCAGGAGACAGTAGTAGACACACATGAAGAATATGCCCAGGGCAAAGCTGGAAGCCACCACGCAGACCATGATGAGCGAGTGGAAGTCGGTGGAGAAGTTGCGGCTGGAGTACCAGAAGCCGGTGAGCACGGCGTTCTCCAGCAGGACGATGCAGTGGTAGAGGGTCATGCGGCGGCGGCTGCGGCCCTCCTTGACGTTGAACCAGCAGAAGATGTAGATGATACCCACCACCATGTTGTAGATGATCTCCTCCCACTTGGACATGCAGAAGTCTGTCTCCCCTTGGATGACCCAGAAGGTCATGACGCACCAGTGGGCCACGATGAAGATGCCAAAGTAGAGCTTGTAGACGCTGGCGAAGAGCGCGAAGGCCAGGCTGCGGGCAGCAATGGTGAACAGGTGCCACAGCACCTGGGCCACGGCGCCCTTGTAGGACAGCGGCCGCTTGTCATCCCGCGAGTCCCGCAGCACCTTCTGGTAGGAGGCCAGCGTCCAGGCCAGAGACACGAGGGAGGCGGAGGTGGACAGGGCTGTGGAGACAGGGCAGGGGTGGTGTGGGCTGGGTTAGGGGCGGGCTCGGGTTGGGGGTCTAGGGAGGGAGGGAGGGGTCTGGGGAGGGGGGGAGGGGTCTGGGTCAGGGAAGGGTCTGTGGATCAGCAGGAGAGTGGGGAAGGTCTGGGAGGTGGGGAGCTTCAAGAGCAATGATGAGGTGTGGTGAGGGTGCACAGGACTGGGTACTTCAGGGTGGGAGCATAAAGGGGGCGAAGATGGGGGATTGGTCTCCATCTAGGATTCTGGTGTGGGGCTGTCAGGGTTCAGGGGCTTGGTGGGATGGTGGAAAATGAGGGTCCAGGATTCTGGGAGTGGAAGGGGGGGGTGAAGAGGAGGTCATGCTTAGGGTGTGGAGCAGCCAGGAGGGGCCATTAGACGTCATGGGCCATCAGGAGGAGGCCGGGCATGTAGAGGAATACCTAGAGCTGAGCAGAGCTGAGGGGCGGGGTTGCAGAGACCCAAGGGGAGAAGCGCTATGATTGGGACCCAGTATCTGGGCAAGGGATACCCAGAGCCCTGAGGGGTGGTGATAGTCTTTTGGGACACTGAGGATGGGTTGGGCAGGGACTGGGTGGGAAGAACATAGGGTGCTTCAGGGAGACAGAGGGATGTGGTTTTTCTCTGACATTGAGGGGCTTGGCCTGGTCTGTCATGGAAGGGGCAGGGTGGGAAATTAACAGGACCTGTAGGGAGGAGGAGGGGATGGGTGCCAGGAGTAGGCCTGGGAGGGCCCTCTGGGGCCCCCCAGTGAAGAGGTCGACTCTCTGGAAACTGATGGTGAAGGTCAGGTCTGTGAGGCAGGCGGGGTCCTCCAGTTGATGCAGGCTGGGATCACTTTGGGGAATGAAGGGGGCAGAGGATTCCCCAGAGGGTCTGAGGTGTTTGGATGGGAAATGGGGTTTGGTTAGCTCTGGCAACGAGAAAGGGACAAGGGCGGGAGCACCCAGGGGGGCCGATGGGTGGCGAGGGAGTGGAGGGGCCGTGTCCCTCCTCACTCCGAGGGTAAGTGGGCCATCGAAGGGGATGCAGGGGTCTCCAGAGGCCTGGAGGGTGGTGAGGGTAGAAGGGGCGGGCCTCCCTAAATCCTGACTGAGCCCTGAGCTGGGTGGGGAAGCGCACAGAACATCCCCAGGGAGCCTGAAGCAGGAAGAAAGGCCCGGTGGGGCGGTCCCAGGCGCGGAGGGTGAAGGGGCGGGCTCACCCGGCAGCAGGTCGGGCGCGCCCCCGCGTTGCACGAGCAGGCTGAGCTGCAGCACGAGCTGCGGCGCGCTGCGCAGGAAGGTCTCCAGCAGGCGCAGCATGCTCACGTCGGCGCTCTCGAACAGCATCCGCCAGTAGAAGTGGCGCCGCAGCTGCTCCCCGCGCCAGCGGCTCTGCAGCCCCAGGTACAGGGCGCGCAGGTACCTGCGGGAAGGACGCGGTGCTCAGGCTCCCGCGCGCTGGTTCCGCTCGCTCCGTCCCACCCGCCCGAGCCGCCCGCAGGCGCAGGGGGGCAAGTCACTCCCTCCGCTGAGCCTGTTTCCTCAGCTGTGAAATGGGCATTTCGAAAGGATCCCTTTATGGGGCTGCCGTTGAGGAGCACTGAATGGAGGACTCATTAGCTTAGAGAGAGAGGACTGGCACTAAGTCAAGCCTTTAACGCAGCAGCAGCATCACCATTGTTCCTATAACGGGTTGGAGCGTGCTTTCTTTGCAGGGTTACTGACACCTTAAAGTGCACTGAGCTTACAATAGCCGTGTTACCCGTCCTTTATTTTGTTTTATTTTAGAAATGGGGTCATTCTAAATTCCAGTCACCCAGGCTGGAAGGCAGTAGTGTGATCTTAGCTCATTGCAACTTCAAACTCCTGGGCTCAAGGCATCTTCCCGACTCAGCCTCCTGAGTAGCTGTATAGGCATGTACCACTACACCAAGCTAATTTTTAAATTATTTTCTGGCTATATTGCCCACGCTGGTCTGGAACTCCTGGCCTCGCCTCAAGCGATCATCCTGCCTCGGCCTCCCAGGGTGGTGGGATTATAGGCATGAGCCACCACACACGACGCACAATCCCCATTTTGTAGATGAGCAAACTGAGACCCAGAGAGAGATGTCATTTATCCAAGGTCACACAGCTAGGAAGCAGTAGAACCGGATTCAAACCCAGTCATTCTGGCTTCAGGGCCAGCACTCTAACCATTAGGCAACACTGCCTCTGACTGCAAACCATAAAAAGTTTTGCTCACATAGGTTCCTTTCGGGAACAGTCCCTACTGCCTGTTGCCAGCTCCAGTTCTGTTGCCACCGGCGGCTCCCTGGCCTGTTCCCCAACCTCACCTCTTGGTGCCCAGCTCTCGCCCCATGGTGTAGGGAAGGTGCTCACAGACGCTTTTCCTTGGCATTTGAAACTGCGGCTTCCTCTCATGCCACTTTCCCCAACAAACAACATGTCTCTTCATGGCCACTGCACTGGTCACTGATGCCAGAGCTCACAGTGTTCTCCCTCCTCGCTGAGGTTTTGTACCTATTGTTTTCTCTCCCTGAAACACCCTGACCTGTCCCCTAACCCCATCCCGGCCCCAAACCAGGACTCTTGCTTTTCTTCCAAGGCTCAGCTTTTAAATACAATTTTGTCCATAAAGCTTGCACTGACCACCTTCCACCTTGGGTAGGGGCCTCTTCCAGGCTTCCATCTAATCTAGCCAGCACTTGTCACAGTGGGTTGTAACTGCCCGGTTATGTGCGCCTCTCCCCCATGCTGTGAGTACCTGGAGAATGACTAGGTTGGCTTGCTAACTGCTGGATCCTCAGTTCTGAGCACACAGTAGGTGCTTAATCCATGTGGGCTGAATGAATGAAAGTGTGCATGACTGCAGGCTTGTTGAACTAGTAACCCTATAGAGGGTATAGAAGGGACTCTGAAGTCCTGAGATCAATCCCTGACTTGGCTTCTAATTTACTGTATTATCTTGAGCAAGACCCTCTCTGAGCCCTAGTTAATATTACCTCCCAAAGTGGCGATGAGGATCAAATGAATGAAAAGAAACTGCACGCTATAAAGTTCAGTGCCCGTGTAGGGTGAGAGGGGACCTATCCACACAGATCTCTGGGTCTGATTTATCCTTCTGCCCTGTTTCCTTGCCCAGAAGCTCCATTCATGCAGCCACAGACCCTGCCACCTTCCTAGTGCCCTCCTCAGATCCCCAAACTCTCTGATTCACAGGAGCAGGCACGCCCTTTTTTTTTTTTTTTTTTTTTTGAGATGGAGTCTTGCTGTGTCACCCAGGCTGGAGTACAGTGGCGCGGTCTTGGCTCACTCTGAGATCCCAGGGATCTCTGCCTCTGCCTCCCAGGTTCAAGCAATTCTCCTGCCTCAGCTTCCCAAGTAGCTGGGACTACAGGTGTGCACCACCATGCCCAGCTAATTTTTGAATTTTTAGTAGAGATGTGGTTTCACCATACTGGCCAAGCTGGTCTCGAACTCCGGACCTCATGATCCGCCCGCCTTGGCCTCCCAAAGTGCTGAGATTACAGGCGTGAGTCACCATGCCAGGCCAAACACACCCTTTGCTGCAAACCAGAGGGCTCCTCCAAAAGTGGCCTTCCCAGGAAATGGGGGTGGGGTGTGTGTAGGGGGAAACCTTTACATAGAATCTGTGACCCCACTTCCTGGATCTGAAACTGGGGAGCCAGGGATTTGGGGTCTATTCCCAGGGTGAAGTGCTGGTACTTCCAGGATGTTGTTTGGGAGCCATGGGACTCACTCTATTCACAGCCCAAGGGAGGAAATCACAGTGCTCCCTGGATGTGGGGCCAGCTGATACCCAGTTTCCTCAAATGAGTATACTGGTCTTACCAGCTGTGTGGCCCTCTCTGGGCCTCAGTTTCTGCCTCTGCCAATGAGAGGGATGGATTTGATAACTCTGAAGATTTTTTCAGAGTGAATATTCTGGAACTACCTCTGCAAAATGTGGCCAGAAACATCCTGTTTAGGACCCTCTTCCCCATCCCTGGGTCATCCTGGCGTGTCTATGGTGTAAACACACCGTCAACATAACAAATGACAGGACTGGCAGCCAGGATGGGAAGGGGGCTGCTCCCTCAGGAGCTGACTCAGGAAATGCAAAGTCCCCTCTCTCCAACTGTCCTATGCCATGCTGGAATTCCTTCAGCCATTTCCAGACTGGTGCATCTATACCCATGGCTCATACACTTCCCAGGACAGGGACCTCAGCTTCTGAGCAGCTCCAGGGCTGGCTTGTGTTTCTTCTGATGAGCAGAAATTTGTCTCCCCGTATCTTCCATTTTCTGGACTCCTGCTTACCCCACACATATGGATCCCTGCAGCCAGAATGATTCATTCATGTAGCAGGTGGATTTTGACCACCTGCTCTGTGCCAGGCTGTGTGCCCGTATGTATCTCCCAGTCCCATGGAAGACAGACAAGATAGGAGGTGAAATAATGCTACAACATGCCTTGGAGCGAAGAAACATTTGATCTCAGTTTTAAAGCATGGATTGGCATTTGAAGGCACACAGAGATGGAAAGGCATTCCAGGTGGAAGAATCAGCTGAAGCAAAGGCTTAGAGGCCTGAAAGAATTTGGCCTTTTAAGGGAATGGCCAGAGGTTTGGTGGGCCTGGACGGGAGCCGGGGGGAGGGGTGGTTTAATGGGCAGGGGCATAAGAAGACTAGAATTGTGAAGGGCATCAAATTCTGGACTGAAAAGTTCCGATTTTATTCTGTATCTGAATGCCATCCCAGAATCAGGGGTGATGTGTTTGGCTCAGTGGCTTAGAGAGCTTGCTGTGGAGGCTGGCTTGGAGGAAAGCCAGGATTACAGGGCTAAGCTAAGGCAGGGGAGAGAGGAGGGGCAGAGAGAGATCTGGAGGTGGCCAGAGGTGGGGGCTGGGGGAAAAACCAAGATGACCCCTAGAACTTCTGAGGGCCTAGAACACAGGCTGTCTTTCCTAGCTGCCATCCCCCCTGCCATCACATTCCCTTCCCCTTCCTGGGGCTCTGGCTTTGACTAGGAAGGAGAGACCAGCTGGTCCAATGTGAAGGGGCCTGGGGAGTTGGGGGAGGGTGACACCCTGGAAGTTTCTCTCAGGCTGGAAGACCATCTGTTTCCGGGCCCGGGTCAGCATGAGAGAGGCCCTGGCCCCCAGCCAGCATCCATCACCACCTGATGGGTGGCCTACCCACCTCCCTGCCCACTCCTGCCCCTCCTCTGCCAGCTCCCAGCTAACCACAGACAAAGGGCTCACATAGCCCAGGGCCACTGTGGGCAGGAGCAGGGATGGGGGAAGAGAAGAGAGGAGGCCTCTGAGTCCCAGGAATGTGGGGTCAGCGGGGACTGTGGAAAGAGCACGCTGTCATCTGGGGATAAAAGGCCTGGGTCCTGCCTCACTCTGCCCCTTTTGGCAACAGGACCAAAACTGTGGCCGTTCTTTCCAGCCAGCTTGAAAAGCTCACTGCCAAGGGCCTGTGAGATTTTCATGGGCCTAGGAAAATGTTTGAAGCCTGAAAAAAGAAATTGGCTCTAAAACACAGGGAAAAACTACAGAATCAAAATTAATAAATGTTTAATTAAATGTCTGCAAAACAGAACATGATGTCAGCCAGTCAACTACAATTTGGCTTTTATCTGGTCATATATAATTTACATGAGATGTTTGATGTAGCTGCATTTTAATATGCTTCATAGATGAGGGGCCCACAAAGGTCTTAAAACAGTCCTGCCCAGGACATGCAACCTCATTTCCCTGGCCCTCAGTTTCCCCTTCTCTAAAATGGGGCTGGCACTTGCCATTCTGCCTATGACAGAGCCACTGAGGTAAGGATGAGGGAGGAAAGGTAGCAATGGCTGGCGTGTGCCTTTGATTCCCAGCCCTGTCCCTGACGTGCTGTGTGACCTTGGGCAGTCTCTCCGCTTCTTTGAGCCTTGTTTTCCTCCTTGTTGTGAGCATTAAATGAGTGATGGGGCAGGGTGCGGTGGCTCACACCTGTAATCTCAGCAGTTTGAGAGGCCTAGGTGGGTGGATCTCTTGAATCCAGGAGTTTGAGACCAGCCTGGGCAACATAGTGAATCCCTGTACACACACACACACACACACACACACACACACACACACACACAGAGGCAATGAATTTAAAAATAGTTTATAAGCTCTAAAGGGTGTTCACAGAGAGGGTAGCATACACTGGGTAGAGTCCTCTGGCTCCTCCTCACTACCAAGCAACCTCTCTTGAAACCTCCTCCAGGAAGTCCACCCTATCTCACATCCCACTCTATTTGAAATGAAGTTGAAAGAAGCCGATCTTCACCCAAGAGAAGAACACCCCCTCTCAGGGAATGAAATCCAGATTGGGGGATAGGGGGTGGTGTACATCAGATCTTCTCCAAAATGTATCCCCAGGGCAG